TGTGTGTGTGAGTGTAGCTAGTGTGTGTGGTGTGTGATGTGTAGCCTAGTGTGGGTGTGTGTGAATGTTAGCTTAGTGTGTGTGTGTGATGAGGCCTAGTGGTGTGTGTTGTGGTTGTAGAGTTGGGTAGTGCTAGTGTGTGTGTGGGCTTGTGTGGTGTGATGTGTAGCTAGTGTGTGTGTGTGTGATGTGTAGCTTAGTGTGTGTGTGTGATGTGTAGCCTAGTGTGTGTGTGTGTGATGTGTAGCTTGTGTGTGTGTGATGTGTAGCCTAGTGGTGTGTGTGTGATGTGTAGCTAGTGTGGTGGTGTTGTTGTGTGGTGTGTTGATGTGTAGCCTAGTGTTAGCCACCGGGGGTCTGTGTGGGTTGGAGCAGGTCAGACTGTGTTCGACACCCCAATACTGCTTGGACGGGGGCTAACGCAATGCTACAGTACCATAGCTAACTCTGCAGAGAGAGGGTGACAGTCTTGTATAGGAAACCTAGTATTGTCATATCTTGTAGAGCACGGCTGTTCTACAAGTGTGGAAGCCCTTTTTAAAATATACCTTCATATACCTTCACACATTTTCAAAAGAATCTTCCTTTCTTCCTGTCTGAGTAGTTGTTCTAGTGAATCTGTTGAGGGATGGTCTCTCTCCTCTCCTCTCACAGCTCCCTGCCAACAGATCCACTATCTCAGGTCCCTCTAAGGCTTTATTAAACATTCATATTTTAATTAAGCAATTTTACTGCCGCTACTTGAAGTAAAAAATCAGCAGTTGCTACATCCATTTAATGATACATTAATTATATGTACCCATTGATTCTTCAAGAATATAACTTATACATGCCTTATGAGCTTAGTTCAACTGTCGTACCGCATTAGAACCCAAAACATAAGCTTGTTTTACTCCAATGTTTGTAAACAACGTAAATGTAACCAAACACTGTATGGCCTCAAAACATGGTTAAAAGTATAATTTTGATATCATGGACGGTCAGTCCTTGCATCCATAGCTCTGTCTATTATTTATTCAGCCTCATCCCTCAGCTTTTCACTGAAACAGGGGCAGGGAGTACGCTTTGTTATTGTTTCTACTGCTGATTGCTGCTTTAATGTGTGATGATAAAGGATCAGCTCCAGTTTTTGGCTGGGGAGCATACGTACGTGAGTGTGTGCGTGTCTGTCTGCACAGTTACTGTGAGTAACTGTAACTGCGTAACTGTGTGGATAATGGTTAGCGTTGGACTGTGTGTGTGTGTGTGTGTGTCTGTGTGTGTGTGTGTGTGCACATGCGTGCATACGTGCAACCAATTGCACAGCTCCAGGAATACCTTGTTGCTCTGACAGGCAGCTCATCACTGCTCACAGCCGACGCACCTCTCTCGTCTCCTGGTCAAAACCTGAAACATATGCGAGAGAGCTAAGCCATCACGGAGAGAGAGAGAAGCGAGCTCATCAAGAAAAAAAAAAGAGCAGCAGAGGGAGAAGAGAGAAGAGCTCTCCCTCTCCTACCCCCCACTCTCTCTATATATCTCTCTCTCCTCTCTCCATCCTCCCCCCTCTCTCTCTCTCTCTCTCTCTCTCTCTCTCTATCTCTCTCTCTCACTCTCTCTATCTCTATCTCCATCACTCTCTTTCACACTCTTGGAAATTCTTCCTGCTGTGATCCGTAGTCTTTCACTTTTCAATGGTTTCTTTTCAGTGCTGTTGGTCTGTGTGTCTCTGTCTATGTGTGTGTGTGTGTGTGTGTGTGTGTGTGTGTTCTCTCCCTAAAGACACCTTGGGATCCGATACGAGCTGTAGCAGGACATTAAATGCTAGACTGAGGCTCTCTCTGCCTTTCTTCAGATTTGATGGAAGGGAGAATGAAGATGAATGTCCTCTGATCAGGCAGCAGTGTACAGTTAACTGCCGCCGTGCGCCCAAAGGCACTGCAAAATGTCATTGTGTGTGTGTGTTCCTTTGTCTCTCAATGTGTGTCCTCAAAAAGGTTTGTGTGTGTACACCTCGGTGCCTATGTGTGTCTGCTAAGAGAGTGTGCTAGTGTGTGTGTGTGTGTTTGTGTGTGAGAGTGTTTGTCTCTGTGCCCTTGTTAGGGATGAGTGGGCTGTACTGGCTGGCTGTAAAGACCGCTTTCTTTCTCTCTTTTCTCATTGGTGATATCCCCAGGAATGACACGCAGGGGTGGTATGCTGTCAGAGCGCCCGCCTCCACACACACACACACACACACACACACACACACACACACACACACACACACACACACACACACACACTCTGTCTGGTCAAAGCCTGGCAGGCCCAGGAGAAGAGCTCATTAGCACAGATATGTCACGTGTGCTCTTCCAAACCAAGCAGACCCACACACAAACCCACAACCACACACACACACATACAAACCCAGAACCCCACACACACACAAACACAGGCTCCAGGGCCCCCTCTCTCCAGCCCACCACTCTGGCAGGGGGAGATAGGACCTGAGGTTTGCCCTGACCCCCCCTTCCCTCCTCATCCACCTCCTCCTTCTCTTTCTCTATTCCTCTATCCCTCTCTTTCTCTGTGAGTCACAATGCCATCCCACGCTGTGTGGGGAGAGAAGGGCTTCAGATGTATGAGAGTATTACAGCGCGTGGTGTGAATCTACCACAGTGCACTCTGTGCTAGGAGTGTGTGTGTGTGTGTGTGTGTGTGTGTGTGTGTGTGTGTGTGTGTGTGTGTGTGTGTGTGTGTGTGTGTGTGTGCATGTGTACGTGTGTGTGTGTGTGTGCATGCGTACGTGTGTGTGTGTGTTTCTCTCACTCTATACACATCCTACAGGGCAGGGGTCCAGCAGTAACTGTCCTTGGTTTTTTAAATAGGAAACCATTCCTTTAGAACATGTAAATGAAGCAGTGTAATGTAATGTCCTTGGTTGGTAACTATGAGACAGTAGGAGGGAGTATGATGACAGTGACACTTTCATTAGAGCAAGAGGTACCTGGTGAGCTGCAGAACGAGTTCGAGAGACCGGAGGAGGATGAGGAGAAGAGGAGGAGGAGGAAAGAGGATTTCAGTGGTGGGGATTGTTTTAAGTCCCTCAAAGCTCTCTAACGCTGCACACTACACTACACACACACACAC